CACTGGGCGGGGCTGGCATCAGCCGGCTGTTTCACTGGGCGGGTGGAAAACGTGGGGGGGGGGGGGTAGAAGCCGGGTGGAAAATGGGGAGGGGTTCGAGCCGGTTGGTAAATGGGGGGAGTAGAAGCCGGTTGGAAAAGGGGGGTTGTAGAAGCCGGTTGGAAAATGTGGGGAGGGTAGCAGCCGGTTGGAAAATGTGGGGAGGGTAGAAGCCGGTTGGACAATGGGGGGAGTGTAGAAGCCGGTTGGACAATGTGGGGGGATAGAAGCCGGTTGGACAATGTGGGGGGATAGAAGCCGGTTGGACAATGTGGGGGGATAGAAGCCGGTTGGACAATGTGGGGGGGATAGAAGCCGGTTGGACAATGTGGGGGGGATAGAAGCCGGTTGGACAAGGGGGGGGGAGTGTAGAAGCCGGTTGGAAAATGGGGGGAGGGAAGGGGGGGGCCCCCGACATTATAGGCGGGTGGGTTTATGTAGGATGACAGGACGCGTTTATGTGTATGATTGTGTGTGTGTGGCAGCTACTGTGTGGGAGAGGAGTAGTGTTAAGTGTCCAGTGCCTCCTGATGGAGGGAGAATGACCCAGCTGACGGATAGCAAGCTTTGTATTATTTGACCAAGTTGACTCTTGAACATTTGAACAAGGGGTACCTTGACCCCCTTGATTACTCATTACCAACATGTGCAGACAACCTATTGTATTCTCTCTTATACATGTAAACGAAAAATGCAATAAAGAATGGCAGGACAGGAAGGTAGGGTGGGGGTGGAGGGGGGGGGCAAGGGGCGACCTCTGCAATGCACCATCACAGCACCTGACCGGAGTCGGCTGCTCCAGATCAGTCAAGTTTCTCTACTCTAACGACAATCACTAGCCTTAATTTCTAATTTAGCATATCTTAATTCTACTAAAATAAGTGCCGTTAAAAGGTCATCCAATTACCTTCAGTTAAAACCCAATAGAAAAAAACACAGCACCTGCGGCATGCTCCCGTTGAGAAAATGGAGGTGGCCGGCAACCCGTGTCCAATCAATAGCAGGGCGTCTGCGTGTATGTTCGTAGCACCTTTATGTGATTTTCCTGACTCCACTGTGAACGGCGGTAAGCACGGCAATTCATCCAATAGACAGACAACAGCTGTGCACAGTACAATGAAGCATGGCCCAGCACCCACAGTACTATTTGACTTTAAACTTTAATGCTCGGAGCACATCCTACGACGCCATCTTTGATTTGAACCGGTTGGTAGATGTAAACCGCATGACAGCTATGCGTGCATGTAAAATGTCACTTCCAAGACAATGCCTTCTTAACGTTGGCATCCCACTATACTTTAGTTTGTCTCGTGTGCAAGATCCGCACAGTTTCAAACGACACTTGTGGATGATATAATTATGATCAATTACTCTCATGGCTTAGCCAAACATCTATCTAGTGGAACGGCCAGAATGCCCACCTCATTCTAATTTTTTAAGTGAATCAATGTTTAAAATATTGCACCTTCCTGATCTGCTTCCAATTGTCACTTCAGTTGCGCACCAAGCTGGCACCTGTCTCCCCTCATTCTGTCTCCCAGGTGCCCAGTTCGTTCTCCTGAGCTTTCCCTGTCACTAAACTTGTACTAAATTAACCAAACCAAACCTACCAGAGGACCCACGAACAGAAATGTGACATCACGTTGCTTTACGTTAGCCGCTACCATTTTTAGTACATAAGGTTTTTTTTGGCATTTGGGAAACTATACGTCAAAATGCGATGTATTGTACTATGCAGGAGAACGGGTCGAGATGGCAACCTTAATTGACAAACGTCAAATTATTCTTATTCCAAAACGAATTTTGAGATGTACAGTTTGTTGTGTATATGGCACATTACAGTGCCTAAATCAGCAACCAATAGATTTTGCCAGATTTTAAGTTAATGTGAACCAAATGAATAGGTTTAACATTTCGAATACGGTGTAATGGTGGGATAAGTCGGCTCATAGTTGCAGAGATTCCAGATGGGATATTTGGATACAGATAACACCACGTTTATTGGGACCCACAAGACTAATAATTAAAACATTACTCTAGGGGACACGGAACTACCAGTATGTCAAAGATCAAGCTTCTTTCTTACATAAATTGGACGATCAAGACGGGCTACAAGCAAGTCTGGCACAATCGGTATTCGTCACTATGGGAGCCTAGCTTAAGTATACTGCCAAGGTATTAATGTCAAACATTCACATTAAAAAGTGAAACTGAAAACGGCTAGTAAACCACCTTTGTAATTATAAATATAATCGACTGAACTGTTTTAAACTTCCATGACTACAATTATGTCAGATAAGAAATATCTTTGTGGCTTTAACGAATACAGCATTTGTTAAACGAGTCGCTTCTATGACTTAACGTACAACCTAGCTGAACTTTTTAAATTATGTTTCTTTCAAGAGGCATTAAACTAATTATGTACATTACTCAACTAGAAACGTAAATCATATTAAGCCTACACATCTGACTAGTCATTATCAATAAGCATTTGTTAACACCTCTTACAAATCTGAGGTCTTCAAAACCATGGATGAAAGTGAACATTAAACACAGATTATCCTAATGCAGAACTTTCCAATTTATCGATTTAAACGGAAATGAGCAGTTTTAACCGTCTATGAGCATCAAATAAAAATTGTGGACAAAACACCATTAACTTACAGTAGTTTTAAATAAAAATATAGGAAGAGCAATGGTGTTATGTAGCATTAAAGTTTGTGTTCGAATCGAAGTTAATCCCAATAAAAAAGAGCGTTCATAATAGCTCCCCGGGTATGACACCTGAACTTAATACTTAATCGTTGCGCCCGGAGTGACAGCCCTCAGACCCGCGCCCGGAGACCGACACAGCCCCCAGACCCGCGCCCGGAGACCGACACAGCCCCCAGACCCGCGCCAGGAGACCGACACAGCCCCCAGACCCGCGTCAGGAGACCGACACAGCCCCCATACCCGCGCCAGGAGACCGACACAGCCCCCAGACCCGCGCCCGGAGACCGACACAGCCCCCAGACCCGCGCCCGGAGACCGACACAGCCCCCAGAGACCGACACAGCCCCCAGACCCGCGCCCGGAGACCGACACAGCCCCGGAGACCGACACAGCCCCCAGACCCGCGCCCGGAGACCGACACAGCCCCCAGACCCGCGCCCGGAGACCGACACAGCCCCCAGACCCGCGCCCGGAGACCGACACAGCCCCCAGACCCGCGCCAGGAGACCGACACAGCCCCCAGACCCGCGCCCGGAGACCGACAGCCCCAGACCCGCGCCCGGAGACCGACAGCCCCCAGACCCGCGCCCGGAGACCGACAGCCCCCAGACCCGCGCCCAGAGACCGACAGCCCCCAGACCCGCGCCCGGAGACCGACCGACACAGCCCTCAGACCCGCGCCCGGAGACCGACCGACACAGCCCCCAGACCCGCACCCGGAGACCGACCGACACAGCCCCCCAGACCCGCGCCAGGAGACCGACCGACACAGCCCCTCGACCCGTGCCCGGAGACAGTCTGACAGCCCCCAGACCCTTCGCCCGGAGACCGACCGACACAGCCCCCAGACCCGCGCCCAGAGACCGACCGACACAGCCCCCAGACCCGCGCCCGGAGACCGACCGACACAGCCCCCAGACCCGCGCCCGGAGACCGACCGACACAGCCCCCAGACCCGCGCCCGGAGACCGACCGACACAGCCCCCAGACCCGCGCCCGGAGACCGACCGACACAGCCCCCAGACCCGCGCCCGGAGACCGACCGTCACAGCCCCCAGACCCGCGCCCGGAGACCGACCGACACAGCCCCCAGACCCGCGCCCGGAGACCGACCGACACAGCCCCCAGACCCGCGCCCGGAGACCGACTGACAGCCCCCAGACCCGCGCCCGGAGACCGACTGACACAGCCCCCAGACCCGCGCCCGGAGACCGACTGACACAGCCCCCAGACCCGCGCCCGGAGACCGACTGACACAGCCCCCAGACCCGCGCCCGGAGACCGACTGACACAGCCCCCAGACCCGCGCCCGGAGACCGACTGACACAGCCCCAGACCCGCGCCTGGAGACCGACACAGCCCCCAGACCCGCGCCCGGAGACCGAAACAGCTCCCAGACCCGCGCCCGGAGACTGACAGCCCCCAGACCCGCACCCGGAGACCGACACAGCCCCCAGACCCGCACCCGGAGACCGACACAGCCCCCAGACCCGCACCCGGAGACCGAAACAGCTCCCAGACCCGCGCCCGGAGACTGACAGCCCCCAGACCCGCACCCGGAGACCGACTGACACAGCCCCCAGACCCGCGCCCGGAGACCGACTGACACAGCCCCCAGACCCGCGCCCGGAGACCGACTGACACAGCCCCCAGACCCAGTTTTATTTAACGTATTAATTCAAGCATAATGATGTATAATCAAGTAATAACTTGAGACCCACCAGGGCGTTACGGTGTAGAAAGTCCCGAGCCGGCTGGGTACCCTGGGTACCCTCTGGAATACCCTGCAACCTTGGTCCCTACAGGAGGGCGGTGCTGGGTATGGCTCCAGAGGGGTACCCTAGCCATGTTCAAGTAAGGGGAGACGCCCCCTGGAAAGTACACCAGGGGATATATAGGAGATTTCGCTGTACAAAGCGATCAGATACCGTATACACTTATCCCCCCTACACACCTGACTCTAGCACCTTGCTGCATATCCAGGTGTGTAGGGGGGAGGGGGAGGAAGAGAGGGGGGTGGGGTAGCTCTTGCAGCAGGTATTGATTCCAGGGTGTGTGGGGGGGGGCCGTCCGCACCGCCCCCCAGATCAATGCCAAGCTTTACTGCATCCATCACCACCTTTACTGGCACCTAGATGACCCCCTTACACCGTAGGCCCCAGCTGGTACCTGTAGGGACAGGCAGACAGGCACCAGGCACCTCCCTTTACCGTCAAGACGCAGCAGACTGCCGAGGGTATACTTACATCGGCCATGGCTGCTGGAGTGAGGGTGTGGGCGCTCAGCAGAAGGACGGCAGCAGAGGATACACAGTATCCACGAACGGTGTACGAGCTGGCTCTCCACCAGCACCAACAACCACTATGTACACACTTATGTACAAGCCACTAGGCTACCTTCACTTTGTACACTTTCCTCAATCTTGTGCCCTCTTGGACTTGTTAAGGGTTTCGCTACAAGCACATTCTTCACCGTGTGTGAAGGGTTGGTTGGTCGACACTAAAGGGCACAGCGGCACGTCCGTTCTCGACGAAGCGCGCCTCACGACAACTTCAACCGGCGGGATTCGGCGCATCCGCGGCCTCCCTGCTGACGTCATCAAAACGTCACTCCTTTAAATGCCTACGCCCCTTTCCTGGCGCATATCGTGGCTTTTATTGATCATACCGAGTCATATTTCATTTCACACAACATGTCGAACTGTCAATAAAGTATTATCGTATTCATAAAATACTTTTTGGATCAAATATTGCAAAGCTACGCATCCACAAATATAGGAAATAATTGTTCCAGAAGGCAACTCTAACGAAATACCAACCTTACCGAGCGACCCTCGGCCTCAGTATCGATCTTCAAGTGTAGCTGGGTAACCTTGCTTCTCATTATTCATGCTATTGAAGGCATAGACTATTCTCTTCTTCCTCCTGAATACTGAATCCTACTGTCATAACTGACCCATAATTATTGAAAACTATCCGTCCAGCGTCTCCTTTACGGTTGGTATTACTAGAGTACCAGATAGTCAATTAAATGCACCCATTTACTTGCCATTGTTCTTTGTAATATTATCTTACATAATAATATTTAAGCATAATCTTATTATTTAAAAAAATATATTGAACCCAAGGTATTTAGAACTATCGGTGCGTGAGTAGCAGATGTATAAAATCCTGCACAAAACTGGTACTTAATCGCCTTAAAAACGAGAAGTGGGTTGAGATAAGCAGCTGAGGGCAGCGGGCAGGTTGTACACGCTCAGCGCCACCAGACTGCTGCTCGACCCCGGCCAGATAGGCCGCGAGCGCCCATACAGCCCTATAAAATATGTAAATCGATTACAAATATGTATATTTACATACGTACATACATGACTTGACGTGTAAAGTACTGAGGACAAGTAAATTATCCTGGCGCTATGAGAGCCATAGCTATCCAGAGCTGGTATATGTGAGCTTTTAATAGTATATGGTGACAGGATGAACAAACCCAGCGGGTTTTCTTCCTATTGGGGAGTGTTGTACATGCTGCTATGGCGGTGTGTCCACTCACAAGATGAGTGACGCTGCCCAATACTGTCACTATGGCGGTGTGTCCACTCACAGGATGAGTGGCGCTGCCCAATACTGTCACTATGGCGGTGTGTCCACTCACAGGATGAGTGGCGCTGCCCAATACTGTCACTATGGCGGTGTGTCCACTCACAGGATGAGTGGCGCTGCCCAATACTGTCACTATGGCGGTGTGTCCACTCACAGGATGAGTGGCGCTGCCCAATACTGTCACTATGGCGGTGTGTCCACTCACAAGATGAGTGGCGCTGCCCAATACTGTCACTATGGCGGTGTGTCCACTCACAAGATGAGTGGCCCTGCCCAATACTGTCACTATGGCGGTGTGTCCACTCACAAGATGAGTGGCCCTGCCCAATAAACTCGCCCCTCGGGGCAAAATTTAAAAAACATTTAAAATGACAGATGTTGTCTAACCACAGGTGCTATGGGAGGCATGGAAGTAGTAATGAATCAAATGGTCTACAAATGTAAATAGTTACTATAGGTACTATTTACAATGTTGGAAAATACTACATTATTTGTTACATTCGTCATACCAAGGTTGTATTATGCAGCGGCGGTGTGTTGGCCTTACCTAAAGAACATTTCAATAGGTGAGAGGTGCAGATACCCACAAAATTTTCACGAGTTGTCTGGCAAAGGTCAAACACACACGTGACCTCTGGGAAGACAAGGACGTGATAACTACTTACAGATATCCACCCATGTCAGACGAGCAGTTCTACAAATGCAATTACTGTTAATATCAGTAAATAGGTACCCAGGGGTACAGTGTTGTACCAATATCGTACCATGTGCTGTTGGTATGGTATGTGTTGTACCAATGTTGTTGGTTGTGTTGTACCAACTAATCACCACTCAAATTGTCAACTCAATGTTATAAAATTCGTGTCCAAAAGTGTAGATCTAATTTTACGCTAATATTACGAATTAATATCCCTTGATTGTGACTGTGAAAACATGGAACACGATTTTCACACTAGAGAGCCTCAGTCACTGTAGGAATATGACGATATGGCTGTATAGCATCCTCCGCCACGAGGCTGGCTAGGCTATGGAAAACGTGAAACTTTTTACCAAAGTAAATATATTAATATACAAGGACGGAAGGCCAGGAGCGAACACTAGGTTACAAACCCCCCCATATAGGTCACCCCACAACCTGTCCTCTTAAAAAGAACGTCGCTTTTGGCCGTATGGCCGAATTTGGGCGTAATTTGAAAATGAAAATAAATTTGGGAATTTTTTTTTCAACAGCAGTAAGTTAAGGGTCCTCTGATAGGTTAGGTGGGCAGGAAATTCTCATAAAGTTTCAAAACGTTATGAAAAACGTTAATTTAAAGTGTCCTCTTATAACCTCTGCGCGTACGCCGGACGACTCAAATAGAAAACGGAACAGAACGTCACTTTTGTGAGTCGATTTCATTTCAAATTACGTCCAAATTTGGCCATAATGCGCATACCAGCCAAAAGTGACGATATTTTTAAGAGGACGGGTTGCCCTCCCTCCCTCCCTCGCTGCCTGTGAGATATGAGCTTATATCACCCATTGCCTGACACTGCTATCCGCTTCTGCAACAAGAAGAGGCTGCTTCACTGCTTCAAGAAAAGGCTTTCCCAGTCGGCATCTCAGAGTGCTGGGTCCACCCACACAATATGCTTACAGAACAACGCCACCCCATACATAAGAAAGAATTATTTTGTCACTGTTATGGTAGTTAATACATGGAATGCATTAGGCAGTGGTGTGGTGGAGGCTGACTCCATACACAGTTTCAAATGTAGATATGATAGAGCCCAGTAGGCGCAGGAATCTGTACACCAGTTAAGAGGCGGGACCAAAGAGCCGAAGCTCAATACCCGGCAAGTACAACTAGGTGAGTACATACTCCCCCCTTCCACACCCTCCCTCCTACACATTACCCCTCACCCCTCTCCATCAACCCCCCCTCCTATAACCATCCTATATCACCCCCACCCCCCACTTCTCAAACACGCCTTGGAATATGTACACAAGCATCTTAGCGTGTATACATGAATACTACACAGTATTCATCTATACACATCCATATGTGTTGAAATACACGTGAGGAGCCATACACATTAGTAAGAACTCTTTCAGTGTCAGAGTAGTTATAACACTGTACTTATAACACTGTACTTATAACACTGTACTTATAACACTCCTCTTATAACACTGTACTTATAACACTCCTCTTATAATACTGTACTTATAACACTCCTCTTATAATACTGTACTTATAACACTCCTCTTATAATACTGTACTTATAACACTCCTCTTATAACACTGTACTTATAACACTGTACTTATAATACTGTACTTATAACACTGTACTTATAACACTCCTCTTACTGTACTTATAACACTGTACTTATAACACTGTACTTATAACACTGTACTTATAATACTGTACTTATAACACTGTACTTATAACACTCCTCTTATAATACTGTACTTATAACACTCCTCTTATAATACTGTACTTATAACACTGTACTTATAATACTGTACTTATAACACTGTACTTATAACACTGTACTTATAACACTGTACTTATAACACTCCTCTTATAACACTGTACTTATAACACTCCTCTTATAATACTGTACTTATAACACTGTACTTATAACACTCCTCTTATAACACTGTACTTATAACACTCCTCTTATAATACTGTACTTATAACACTGTACTTATAACACTCCTCTTATAATACTGTACTTATAACACTGTACTTATAACACTGTACTTATAACACTGTACTTATAACACTGTACTTATAACACTGTACTTATAACACTGTACTTATAACACTGTACTTATATCACTGTACTTATAACACTGTACTTATATCACTGTACTTATAACACTATACTTATAACACTGTACTTATAACACTGTACTTATAACACTCCTCTTATAACACTGTACTTATAACACTGTACTTATATCACTGTACTTATAACACTATACTTATAACACTGTACTTATAACACTGTACTCATAACACTGTACTTATAACACTGTACTTATAACACTGTACTTATAACACTGTACTTATATCACTGTACTTATAACACTATACTTATAACACTGTACTTATAACACTACATAACTGTCTATTATACTTATTGCACTCCCCACTGTTCACTGGGGACCTGGTGGCTGAGTGGACAGCAGTCTAAGCTCGTGGACCTATGGACCGGGGTTCGATCCCCGCAGCCGGCAGAAAGAGATGGACAGAATTTCCCTCACCCTGATGCCTCTGTTCACCTAGCAGTAAATAAGTACCTGATGCTTGCTATACAACTAGGTGAATATTCCATGTATAACACTATGTATAACACTTATAACACTAAACTCGTAATGTTACACTTATAATACTGCACTTTTATCACTACAGCAAGCTGTCCTGTCGTGCAGACTTAGGCCACGCTTGCCGGCAAGTTGCTGGCACCTGTCAAGGGAGAATCACTTGAGCTGGCCGGCTCGGCCAATATAGCCATCTGCACTCTTTCTCGAAGTCAGTCAGTCACTCCCTGCTGACCTCTCTCTCTATATCCGTAAATATCTCTGACATCCTATCTGGCTGCCCACCATCATCCTATCTGGCTGTCCACCATCATTCTATCTGGCTGTCCACCATCATTCTATCTGGCTGCCCCACCATCATCCTATCTGACTGCCCCACCATCATTCTATCTGGCTGCCCCACCATCATTCTATCTGGCTGCCCCACCATCATTCTATCTGGCTGCCCCACCATCATTCTATCTGGCTGCCCCACCATCATTCTATCTGGCTGCCCCACCATCATTCTATCTGGCTGCCCCACCATCATTCTATCTGGCTGCCCCACCATCATTCTATCTGGCTGCCCCACCATCATTCTATCTGGCTGCCCCACCATCATTCTATCTGGCTGCCCCACCATCATTCTATCTGGCTGCCCCACTATCATTCTATCTG